GAGGGTAAGTTCAGAATCAGAGGTTAAACATTAAATACCATGTCCAAGGTATGAGCTAAGATAAGAAAAGAGTAAGAGGACAAGAGGATAGGAATACTGAGCCAGTGTAGAGATAAAATATTACACCAGATAAGACAGACAAGTTGTAGATTTCAGGGCTTCCTCAGTGGCTCAGCAGGTAAGGAATCTGACTGCAATGCAGGAGACATGGATTCGACCGATTTAGGCATGAACAAAGAAATAGTGCTTAGCAGTGTTTTGCTCATAGGTAGGTTCCCTGGTTTTAAAGACAAGGGCTGGGCCAGAGGTTTTCTCTGTTATTGAAAGTCATAAAGTAGTATTACTATATTTTTGTTTTATGTTCAAATAAATAGAAAGCAGTCTAGAGGAAATGTTGAAATTTGCAAGGAACTACTACTCCAAATGAAATTAAAAGCCCTGAAAATATTATTTCTTGGCCAATATTAGATTATGTATTTTCTCCCAAAATGCACAGGTAATGTTTTGTATTGATTGATAATTTAATTCTCTTCCCTCTTCAAACAGTATTTGCATCTGGTGATTTTTTCTCCATGTCAGAGTCATCTAACTTAGAACAAATACTGGTGGGGTGCCGATGGTTTCTTCTTCTGTTTGCTGTTTTTAATTTTTATTTTTACATTACCTTTTTTTTATCTTAATAATAAGTCCCAAGTAGCTCAGTGGTAAAGAATCCACCTGCCAATGAAGGGGACTTAGGAGAAGTGGGTTTGATCCTTCAATCCCTGAAGGAGGAAATGGCAACCTACTGCAGTATTCTTGCCAGGATAATCCCATGGACAGAGGAGCCTGGCAAGCTACAGTCCATGGGGTCACAAAGAGTTGGACATGACTGAGCAACTGAACACACATACACACAGCAAATTAATATTTTTATTAACATGTTTCAAACAATAACAGCTCATTTCTGAAAGAACAAATCTAATCATATTTAATTCCCTTTTTGCTTGCTTCCAATTATGTCTTCTACCAGATTACAGAAGTAATCAATTTCTTTCATCCACCTTTTCTTCACATGCCTGCAAATCAATTATTAATTTTTTAAATTTTATAAATTAACACTTATTTTGAGGGCTTATTAATTTATTTGTACCTATTTCAATCTTAGATCATTTCATTATAACTCTTCTTAAGCTTGCTTTTTTCTTTATTTAAACATATTCTTGCTGTATATTAAACCATAGTACAATTTAGTTTCTTCATTTATATTAGCCATTGACTGAAAAATAACTAATAAGTCAACCTACAGTAATTTAAATCTCTATCAAAATTTGTCAATGACAGCTCCAAACAGACAGTTTTCTTTATTCAGAAAGTGTTGACATTTTCTTCCCATACCATCTACCAAAGATAAATAGATCAGATAGTTTCAGATGAAATTAAATGTGGATTTCTATATTTTTTTGGTTACCATTCATTGTTTGAAAAATTCCGTTAATTCTGAGGCGTTTTCTCTTCCAAATCTTAAAGGTAATGATTTTCAGGATATCAAAGTATTTTTCAAAATATTTTCTCTAACAACCTACCATGGCATCTGAAATTCATACTCTTGTGATTCCTGTGGGTTGTTTAATGCTAGACAAAGATATATGTAGATGCCTGTAGATACAGGTTGACATATATATGGAATATAGACAAAGACAAATATTGCATCACTGATAAAATTTGCTTTAAGTAGCTTATTAAAGGTCCTGAGGTGATGATAATACATTTAGAGATGTTTGTGTGTTTGTGTGTATGTGTGTGCATGTGCACATATTGGGTTGGAAGAGTGAAAAATCTAAAAAAGCTGTACCTCAATGCATGTAGATTAAGAGTGAGCAACAATGTATGAGAAAGCCTGAGTAACAGATGGGAAATAATAATATCTGCCTTTTCTAATGTGTGTAAAGTCCAGAATATATTAATTTAATTTTACCTATTTAATAAGTCATGGCCAAAAAGTAAAGGAGGCTTTAAAAATAAAATTGAAATAATTTTTCTTTTTTGGTTCCAATAATATTTTAAATGGCAATTGGTACTTACAGATATATCATACACATGTTAATTGCTACATTTATGTAGGTTAAATATTTGTAACTGCTAAAAATAAATAATTTAATATGTTCTCCCTAGGAAGAAATTCTACTAAATTTGGAAGTAACTTTAGAGAGAGCTTTCACCTTTTTTGAGAGGAAATATCTGTGAAGAAAATAGTCTGTTAGCTAATTATTAAATACTATTTTTTTATTTTTATTAAATGCTATTAATTGCATTAACCTGTAAGAAAAAGTAATTGTTTATTCAATATGTAAAGTGTACCTGACTTCATATACATTCACAGTTGCCCAAATGCAGGGTCAAGAATAATGTTAAAATACCAGTATTGTACTTCTCTCTTACCTTATTTCTCTCTTCCTCTATTCCTGTGACCTCCTGTGCTTTCCAAAGTATAGGTGGTAATACTGATTGTCTACTTATGAAACAGGCTTCTTCATTGAAATAAGCCCACGAGGCTTAAAAATCAACCCAAAATAGAGGAAAAGGAAAAGATTTAGACGCAGCATTTGGGAAGTGATAAGTCCCTATAAATTCTACTTTATGGTCACTTATGCCACCTACATGGAAAACCAGTTCTTGGACTTCTCTGGTGGTCTGGTGTTTAAGACTTTGCTGTCCAATGCAGGGGGTGGGGATTTGATCCCTAGCTAGGGGAGCTAAGGTCCCACATGCCTCAGGGCTACAAAAACCAAAGGCATAAAACAGAAACAGTATTGCAACAAAATAAAGATTTTAAAAATGGTCTGCATCAAAAATCTTTTTTAAGAGGACAAAACCTGTGCTAATTAGTAGAGTAAATTCTTGGTTTACAGAAGTAGAAGATGATCTTTTGAATTTCAAAATATTGATTAAATGGGATTTTAAAAATTATTATTGTACAAACCATTTGGTCTGTTGGACTCCTCTGTGTACTATTATTGTTGAATCACTAAGTCGTGTCTGACTCATTGCAGCCCCTCTTTACTGGACTGCAGCATGCCAGGCTAAACCGTCCTTCATTCAGTTCAGTTTAGTTGCACAGTCATGTCCAATTCTTTGTGACCCCATGGAAAGCAGCATACCAGGCTTCCCTGTCCATCACCAACTCCTGGAGCTTGCTCAAACTCAAGTCCATAGAGTCAGTGATGCCATCCAACCATCTCATCCTCTGTCATCCCCTTCTCCTCCCACCTTCAATCTTTCCCAACATCAGGGTCTTTTCCAATGAGTCAGTTCTTCACAGCAGGTGGAAAGTAGTGGTGTTTCAGCTTCAACATCAGTCCTTCCAATGAACACCCAGGACTGATCTCCTTTAGGATGGAGTTGTTGGATCTCCTTGCTTTCCAAGGGACTCTCAAGAGTCTTCTCCAACACCACAGTTCAAAAACATCAATTCTTCAGTGCTCAGTTCTCTTTATTGTCCAACTCTCACACCCATACGTGACTACTGGAAAAACCATAGCTTTGACTAGACGGACCTTTGTTGGCAAAGAAATGTCTCTGCTTTTTAATATGCTGTCTAGTTTGGTCATAGCTTTTCTTCCAAAGAGCAAGTGTATTTTAATTTCATGGCTTCAGTCACCATCTGCAGTGATTTTGGAGCCCCCAAAAATAAAGTCAGCCACTGTTTCCACTGTATCCCCATCTATTTGCCATGAAGTGATGGGACCAGATGCCATGATCTTAGTTTTCTGAATGTTGAGTTTTAAGCCAACTTTTTCACTCTTCTCTTTCACTTTCATCAAGAGGCTCTTTAGTTCTTCTTTGCTTTCTGCCATAAGGGTGGTGTCATCTGCATATCTGAAATTATTGGTATTTCTCCCAACAATCTTGATTCCAGCTTGTGCTTCATCCAGCACAGTGTTTCTCATGATGAACTCCACATACAAGTTAAATAAGCAGGGTGACAATATACAGCCTTGATGTACTCCTTTCCCAATTTAGAACCAGTCCATTGTTCCATGTCTAGTTCTAACTTGCTTCTTGATCTGCGTATAGATTTCTCAGGAGGCAGGTCAGGTGGTCTGGTATTCCCATCTCTTGAATAATTCTCCAGTTTGTTGTGATCCACACAGTCAAAGGCTTTGGTGTAATCAATAAAGCAGAAGTAGTTGTTTTTCTGGAACTCTCTTGCTTTTTCTTTTTTTTTTCATTGAAATGTAGCAGGATGTTTTTTGTTTTTTTTTTTTGTTTTTTTTTTTTATCACAACCATAGTGTATATGATCCAGCAGATACTGACAATTTGATCTCTGGTTCCTCTGCCTTTTTTAAATCCAGCTTGAACATCTGAATGTTCCCAGTTCACATACTGTTGAAGCCTGCTTGGAGAATTTTGAGCATTAGTTTGCTAGCATGTGAGATGAGTGCAATTGTGTGGTAGTTTGAGGATTCTTTGGGATTGCCTTTCTTTGGGATTGGAATGAAAACGGACCTTTTCCAGTCCTGTGGCCACTGCTGAGTTTTCCAAATTTGCTGGTTTATTGAGTGCAGCACTTTCACAGCATCATCTTTTAGGATTTGAAATAGCTCAACTGGAATTCCATCACCTCCACTAGTTTGTTTGTAGTGATGCTTCCTAAGGCCCACTTGTCTTTGCATTCCAGGATATCTAGGTGAGTGATCACACCATCATGGTTATCTTGGTCATGAAGATCTTTTTTGTATAGTTCTTCTGTGTATTATTGCCACCTATTCTTAACATCTGCTGTTTTTGTTTGCTCAAATTCATGTCCATTGAGTCAGTGATGCCATCCAACCATCTCATACTAGGTTACAAAAAAGAAAAAAGACCCTTCTAAGACATTTGGATGTACTAGGTAAATGTTCCTTAGTGTTTCCTTTGGCTCATTTGAGGCAGAAATATGGACTCGGCAAGAGGGAAAGAAGTTGGGTAAGACAAAGGACTGAAATGTAACCCTGTTGTGGCTTCTTATTCTTCTAGGATCTCATGACTCCTTCAGCTTCTACATTGATGAAGCCTCTCCAGTGGGACCTGAACAGCCAGAAACTGTCCAGAATTTTGTCTCTGTGTTTGGAACTGTGGCCAAAAAGCTGATGCGAAAATGGCTAGCCACTCAAACCATGAACTTTACCGGTCAGCTAGGAGCTGGGATCCGTTACTTTGATCTTCGAATTTCCACCAAGCCGAGAGACCCCGACAATGAACTCTACTTTGCTCACGGTTTGTTCAGTGCCAAAGTCAATGAAGGTCTTGAGGAGATCAATGCATTCCTCACAGATCACCATAAGGAGGTGGTATTCTTGGACTTCAACCACTTTTATGGGATGCAGAAATATCACCATGAAAAACTGGTCCAAATGCTGAAAGACATCTATGGAAATAAAATGTGCCCAGCGATCTTTGCCCAGGAAGTGAGTCTCAAGTACCTGTGGGAGAAGGACTACCAAGTGCTCGTCTTCTACCACAGTCCAGTGGCTCTGGAGGTGCCCTTTCTCTGGCCTGGGCAGATGATGCCAGCACCCTGGGCTAACACCACAGACCCGGAAAAACTGATCCAGTTTCTCCAGGCGTCCATCACTGAGAGAAGGAAGAAGGGGTCGTTTTTCATATCTCAGGTGGTGCTGACTCCCAAAGCAAGCACCGTGGTCAAAGGGGTGGCCAGTGGCCTCAGAGAAACTATCACAGAAAGGTGAGTGTCCTTAAGTTCTCAGGGGGAATGTTTAAGCACTTTAACCCAACTTCAAAGAGCTGTTAAGTGATGGAGCTGATTCACACCCATGTATGTTAGTTTCCCAGGGCAGTCACAACAAAGTGCCACAAACTGGGTAGCTTAAAACAGAAGAAATTTACCACCCCTCAGTTCCAGAGGCTAAACGTCTGAAATCCAGGTGTCAGCAGGCTGGCTCCTTCTGAGGGCTCTGTGGGAGAATCTTTTCCATGCCACTCCCCTAACTTCTGGTGATAGTTGGCATTCCTTGTGGTCCTTAGCTTACAGATGCGTCACTCCCATCTATGCCTCCATCTTTACATGATATTCTCCCCTTTTTCTATGTCATCTCTTCATATAAGGACAATATTCATATTGGATTAGGGCCTACCCTAGTGACTTCATCTTAATTACATCTGTAAATGTCCTATTTTCAAATAAGTTCACACTTAACAGATGCTGTGAATTAGGACTTCAGTATGTCATTTTGTGGGCTTTCCTGGTGGCTCAGCAGTAAAGAATCCACCTGCAATCCAGGAGATGGATCCCTGGGTCTGGAAGATCCCCTGGAGAAGGAAATGGCAACCCATTCCAGTATTCTTACCTACAAGCATGAACAGAGGAGGCAGAACCTGGTGGGCTACAGTCCATGGGGTTGCAAAAAGTCAGACACAATTTAGCAACTAAACAACAACAATAACACCATGTCATTTTGTAGGACACAGATCAACCCACAGGAACATGGATTTTTGTTTTTGCTTTTGCTGCACCACATGGCTTGCTGGGTTTTAGTTACCCAACCAGAGATCGAACCTGGACCCCTTGCAGTGGAAGTGTGGAAACCTAACCACTGGATCATCCAGGGAAGTCCCACATTTTGCATTTTGACTCCATATCTAGTTATCTTTTCACAGCACTCCTTTTCATATGTGCTTAGCATTATATAGATGACAAAGCTGTTTTTCTACTGTTTTCAGAGTATTTTCACATACCTGATTCCATTTGACCTGCATGATAATCCTGGGAAGTAGACACTATATTACAGATAAAAAAACTTCAGAGACATGAAATATTTTGCCTAAAGCCACTTGGGCAATGAATAGTGAACCAAAGACTCAAACCCCATTTTTCCCAAGTTGTGTTCTATGTCTTTACACTTTATTCAAAGCAACAATCAATCTCCAGAGAGTAAGCATTCCACTGGTCAAGCCCCTACACACCTGTAGGGCAGTAGTCACTTGTGAACCACAATTAACAATCACTAAAGACATCTCTAACTCATTCCCCAGTACAACATGTATCATTGTACATATTGCTTATTCTTTTGAGTTTAAGTATTAAGGCAAACATTGAAAAGCAAACATAGTTCTTATCACAAATTTTAACTTTAATTGGTACTTTGAATTATGGTAAGGAGACAGAGAATGAATGTTTTGCTCAAGGTCTTGTAGGGAAAACAAGAAAATGAAAAGACTGAGCAATGAAAATGCTATGGATGGCCTTTAGAGGTGAAAATGCTAGATGGTGAGAAATGGGAGGTGAAATTTGTAATGGGGCAAGAACAGATTTGTACAAAGGCTTTTAGGCAGGCTACGGGGAATGTCATCCTATGAGCCATGGGGAGCTAGAAAATGATATTTAACAGTGGAGTGACTTGACCAGGTCTGCATTTGCAGTGGATAATAGGTAAAGCATGGAGGGTAAATGGAATGGAGAGACTCAGCAGTTAAGAAGTGCATGGAACTGTTTTAGCAATCATATGGAAGCTCAAGTGAGGAAGTGAGAAAATGGAGAAGGAGACAGTATGCCACAGCAAAAGTTAGAATGACTACTTGGCTATGTGGTGTGATTGAGAGAAAAGAGAAGTAGAATGAGTGATGGATGCCTTCACAGAGGCAAAAAACAAAGATACAGGGACTTGGTTAAAACATGAGAAAGATCCAATCAGGGTTATGTTAAATTTGTTTGCTCAGTCCCTCAGTCATATGCAACTCTTAGGGATCCCATGGATTGTAGCCCACCCATGGGCTCCTTGTCCATGGAATTTTTCAGGTAAGAATACTAGAGTGGGTTGCCATTTCTTCTTCCAGGGGATCTTCCCAACTTAGGGAATGAACCCACATCTCTTGTGCCTCCTGCATTGGAAGGCGGATTCTCTACCACTGCGCCACCTAGGAAGCCCCATGCCAAATTTAAAGTACTAGAAAGACATCCAAGTAGAGGTGGCCAGTTGATCATTAGGAATATACATTAACTTCTTTGGGAAATATATTTTTTGGCAACGACAGGCACAGGACCTTGGAGAGGAAGAATTCCTCCATACAAAATTATAACTTCCTTCTGTTATTCAGATATTTGCTAGGATCTCCCTGTTCCTTTGATACAAATAAGATTCCCAACCCTTCACTGTACACTGTATGAAAGTGTAAAGCCATCTCTAAAATTTCTGCTGATGTCTAGTTTATTTCCATTCATATAGAATGAGCCCTTGCTCTTCTGGATTTGTGTCATTTTATGAATTGATTGTCCAAGGTGGCCTGTCCATGTTCCACCCTCTATAACCTGAGACGTGAAACTTGCTTCTTGCTTAATTTCTATATACTGGTTTATTCAGACTTTACTAAGGATCTGAGCAGACAAGGGAGGTTTTATAATCATAATGTAGGTGATTTAAAGTTGATGTTCAGATTCATCTGGAATTATGAATCTCCTGACCTGGAATATCTTCTGATGACATCTGTACCACTTTTCACCCTAGACTCATGCCCTCTGACAGAATCTCCTCCTTATCCTTTTCTCACCTGTTGTCTCCCCTTACCCCCATATTGCAGTGGAGACACTACACTCTCCTCTAGATTATTACACAAAACTATCCACCTCTCTCCCTGGCCCTAAGCCTACATTCAGTTAGTCCCACAATGTGTTCATCAGAACAAGAAGACTTTTTCTTTAATAGAACCATCTTCTATAAAAATTAATTGTTCTCATAAATAACAAGTTACCACTTATCTTACCTATTTAAAAATGAGGGCATTATATACAAATGTGTTGCTTTCAAACTTACCCCATAGAGTCCTGAGATTTTTAGAAATCCCCACCAGAGGTGGGGAAGGGGCAGGAGAAGGTGACTGACTCTAATTTTCTTCATTCTTGCTGCAACTTTAATTAAGAAAAAAAAAATTCTTCTAACATTTACATATTGGGCCTGAAAGGAATCTTCCCGTCAAGCTTTACCTTCTGCTGTTTTAGTCTATGTTTAGGAAAACACTTTTCCATACAATTTGCCTACTTTGCATTTGGCCAGGAATCACACCCTAATTCCCTACTTTGTGTAGGGAATAGTCTCTGGGAAGCCAAGAAGGAAAATCTACTCAAGGAACAAATGACTTTCATTTTTCTCTCTTATGGACTTTAATGCAGTGTAGGATTTTACAAGTTATAAATTGAACTGCTTTCTGGTTACATATGCTCTAGTACAGCATTAACAAAATAGGATTTATAGAATAAAGATTAGAAAAGTTAGGAGAGTATTGAAAATATTAATGTATATCTACACAACTCTCCCAAAAGAATCACAATGCACATTAGCATATAAAAGGCACTAGCCAGTATTTTAGTGAATAATCCTATTTAAATTTAACTAATACAATGTTTTCCAAGCACTTAATTTTTTTCCAGATAACACTTATTAACACCCCATGGAATTAATTTGGACAGAATGTCCTCAGCCATCTGCTCTGATTCAGAACTTCTCATTTGCCTCTGTCTTATATATCTGGAATAGTAGAGCTGTTTCAGTAAAAAGGGAGCTTCCCCGGGTAGTGCTAGTGGTAAAGAATCCACCTGCAGGTAGATGTAAGAGATGTGGGTTCCATCCCTGGGTTAGAAAGATCCCCTGGAGGAGGGCATGGCAACCCACCCCAGTACTCTTGCCTGGAGAATCCCAGGAACAGAGGAGCCTGGAGGGCTACAGTCCGTAGGATTGCAAAGAGTCAGACCTGCCTGAAGAAACTGAGCATGCAACATGCACATCAGTAAAAAAGGGGCTTCTCTGTTGGCTTAATGATCCCTAGGTCGGGAAGATCCCCTGGAGAAGAAATGACAACCCACTCCAGTATTCTTGCCTGGGAAATCCCACAGACAGTAGCCTGGTGGGCTATAATCCACAGGGTCACAAGAGTCAGCACGACTCAGCGTTTAAACAGCAACAACAGCAAATCAATGAAAAGAGGGAGTGGAAAAAGAATTTAAAAAGTAGAAATGAAGACCCTATAGGTAGAGTCAACCTTTTGTCTCTAGAATTATGCATATGACTTGCAAATGATTTGTGAATATGTCTGAACCTGACCATAATACTTGTGCTATGAGCATTCTCAGTGGAGTTTGTCTCAGTACTCAAAGACCTTCTTTTAAACCAATTGCAAAGCCTGTGTTTGCCTATGGTGTTAATGTGATATCCAGAGGTTTAGTTTGGTTTGGACGTATTTCCGCTATCTGGGTATGCCTAGGATAGAGCGTCACTGGTGGCTCAGACAGTAAAGAATCTGCCTGCAATGCAGGAGACCTGGGTTTGATCCCTGGTTGGGAAGATCCCCTGGAGAAGGGAATGGCTACTCACTCCAGTATTCTTGCCTGGAGAATTCCATGGACAGAGGAGCCTGGTGGGCTACAGTCCACAAACCGTCTGACATGACTAAGCAACTGACACTTTCACTTTCTATAGGGAAATGTCATTGTCAGTCCTCGGATGATGCCTTGCAAAGGTGACTTACTCCTGAAACAGTGAAAGAACACTTGACTCTCTGAAAACATATTTCCTTTCTCTTTTCACCAAGTGATGAAGCCCACAAAAAGACTTGTTTCTGAACTTTTCTTTTGCTATTGTGCCAAAGCTGCTTATTCAGAAAGTCCTTTGCCACCAAAGAGGAAGTCTCTAGGCCATGTTAAGACTTCTCTGGACCTTGGTGTATTTTCATTTGTGA